CTTCGTCCGTAGCGTCTGGACATCCGATGAATCGCCGTGGATGAGGCCGGACAACAAGCGATGGAGCTTGTTTAACTAGGAGGTGTTGGCTGCCTTTTTCGCCTAGAAAAGCTCGTGCTCCCGTGCGATCCGTTTTTAAAGCATGCGGTCATCGTCTTGACCTGATTTGATGAGCTTGGAGAGCTTCGCCGTGAGTTCGAAGCTGAAGTCGATTGTCGTTTGGTCATCCATAGAATACCGGAGGTGCACAGCGTCGGAATCCCGAGCTCGCTTGAGCTGCATCTTCAACCCATCGAGATCAGTAGCACCCTGACGAGCGAACAGCTCGAGGTTCTCACAGAGTCCCATTTCGGCGAAGAGCTTGTTATCCGAAGACTAACCAGTGATCTCAGTCGACGCAAGATGGGCGCGAAAAAACGTGTGCAGTCACACGAGGTATCGAAAGTCGGCGACGATCCGGCAACGACTGCCAAGTAGACAGTACGGGCGCTGTCAACTCGATCCAGAAACTTCCAGTGGACAGGGGTAGACCGTTTTCCTTCGAAGTGTCCAATGAGGTACAAACGAGTCCTGAAACGACCGATGACGGTCCTTTATCGGAAAATGACCTTCCTTCAACTAGCTTTGTGGAAAGACTCTTGATTGGTGGAGAGGAGACTGATTTGACTGGAGTTTTCTGCCCCGTGATCGACATAATTGCAAGACACAAGAAGAGCCGAGAAGAACAATTCATAGTGTTGCTGACAAATTTTTAGGCCTCGGAACAATGTTACCTACTTACGCGGCACTGATAAAGGCCTTCGAAGACGCCCGTCGTAAGTAGGAAGGTCTACCGGAGCTACGTTGCAGCGCGCGGTTGGAAGATGCAAACGCTGCTGTGGATGAAGAAGAGCGCTTCTAAAAGAGGAGCTGAAGGTGGCTGGTCAATCGAGTCTAAATAACTCTTGATCTAGTCCGTCTAGAAGTGTTCTGAAGAGCACGTCTTACTTTATTTTATAATGTTTTGGATTTTACGCTACGATTGCAGCACAACTACCCTTCAAGAAGAATAATTGCGGTTCAAGATGGGAAACAAGAACGACAATAACAAAATGAATCACTGATGAAATAAAGAAATATCAACTTTAGAAGCGACACTACTTCTCCTACTCACTTCTGAATGGAACGGCTCAGGATGCTACTAGCGAATCGAGGAGAAGATAAAGTCCCACGACTGAGTGGATTTCTGGGATTCCTTCGTCGGCGAGGTAGTCGTAGAGTTCTCTTCGTACAGGCTCCACTTCTTCTGCACGGACGGAGACCGCAACGTCGAGCGCTTCGCTGTTGAACCTGCCTTCTTCTTCAGCGAGAGCGAGTGCGACTGAGAACGCTTGCGAGTGTTCTCTTGTGACACTTTAACTGGTGACCTCGATCTCGACCGCGGGGGTGAAACGGAACGCTTAGGCGAAGCTACTGGTGCTTTGCGCTTACCTTTGGCGCGTAGGGAGACGGAGAATGCTTATGTGCGAAGCTGACTTTGGTCTTCTTCGAAGACGAATAACTACGCGAACGAGAACGCGAGCGCTTCGTAAAAGACTTCGCCTTCGTGGGCGATCTGGAGAGCCGCAGCCGTTTGCTGAGACGCTTATTTACGTCGGAGCTCATGTCGGAGCTTGAAGTCAAACGCAGCAATCTTCTTGACGGGGAGGACTTCTTCGACCTTACTGTCGATTTTCTCTCCTTCGTAAGCCGACTCTTCTTCCCTTTCCTCGCCCCAAATCGCCGTGTAAGTGCCGTTCGTGCGCTCATACGAAGCGTATCCATCCGAATCGGCTTCGGACGGATCAAGAGGCGTTACCTTGGGTTTTTTAAGAGCTCTCCTTCGAGCTCTCGCGAAAGCTTGGTCACCAATTTCTGGATACGTGGGCTGTGACTCAAAGCGTGTCAAACACCCTTCGAACGGTCTCCTATCCAATGTGGCTCGTGCTCGTGCTCGTCTTTGACCTTAAAATTCAGCAGAACCAGAGCTAAAGCACGGTCCGTGAGTTGACTGTTCAGCTTCAAACTGTTCGGGTCGAGAGCTCCAGTATGTTCCAGCAACTCCTTGATCGTCGTAAAGCCTCTCTCGTCGAGGCAGAATGGTTTAAGAGCGTTCTTGACCTTTCGAGCGTACGCGTCCGCGTCTCGCAAGTGAAGTTTGGAAAGATTATCGAGGACTGGGCCGTAGTATGACTTGGCGTCAGGAGCGATCCGACCAGGCTGGCCACCCATCCACATGAGACGATGACGATGAGCACAGTTCTCGAGCAGTCGAAGATAGCCGAAATGTCCCCAAGTACCAATGCAGATGCTCAAGAACCAAACACGCGCGACAGCCGCCATCATTTTGGGCTTGCGCCGCTGAGTCTGTGCTTTGGATGTCTTTAGCGGGGCGCTCAACTGCCAGTCCCAAAACCTAGGATGGTTCTCGTTCCAAAGGCTAGTGAGAAGCGTGAACTTGAGGAAATTCCCGAGGGTTATACCACAAATTCGAGCCACGCCACGGGTAGGCAAGTTGATACGGTTCTTGGCCTAGTTCGAACGCTTCATGGTAAATCTTCTTGAGGTCATCGACTACTTGCGAGAGGGGGGGTCGTATTGGCCAACTTGAACGGCAACGCATAGGATGATCACGAGTGACATTTGCGCTTCTTGTCGGGGAGAGGACTCTCTATCGTCATATTCTTCTTTGTGGATCCGGACCCGACGCTCTTGAGTGAAACTCGACCGTTCTGAGTTAAGCGCTGTTGTCGTGGAGGCTTATTGCGAGCGTGCTGACGTGTAGGCTTCAGCATAATTACATAAAGGACCGCCAAAGCGTCTGCTGCCTATCCGGTGCCGTCCAACATTGCTTTGACAATGGAGTCTAGCACTTCAAGACCGATGGAACACGCGTTGAACGCCAAGACGCCCCTCATGGTGGCCCAGACGCATTCGTCGGCAGGAGACTCGCTTGGTGGTGGACTGTCGGAGCCGGACGACTCGGCGTCCAGGACGGCCGTGAGCTTTCGAGGCTCCTTGTCGCAAGCGATGCCCTGGCGGTGTCACGCGCGAGGGGGGAGCGTCGGAGAAGGTGTCTGGAGGCCGGGGTAAATGACTGAATGAGCTAAAGGCTTGACGTCGAGACCTGGAGATCATGGTAGTGGAGCTCGTCGTGCTCGTCAATCAGAGCTGGAGGAGGCCGAACCTCAGATGCGTCTCTACGCCGTCGGTAACGCCATTTGCTGGCTAGTACTGCTGTATCTCTCTATTGCTGTACGTGCTGATCAATCAGTTTGATCTGTCTCTCCTAAAGTATTGATCGACCGAGCTCTTACTAGTGCTAGCTGGAACGCTTCTAAACGTAGTTGTGCTGAAGCACTGAGCATAGAACACCTACAAGTCGACGATGATGTCGAAGTGCTACACGACTTTCAGGTACCTAAACCCGACCCACTAGGCGACTGTACCGAGGACTACCCCGAAGTGTTCCCGTCTAACCTACGTGTTGAATTCATGAATGCCGAAGCTACGGTGAATAACCTCGTGACCCCGTTCACCGAGGACGGCGAACGCCAAGTCGGGATGGATGGCCCGTACCCGGGAATGAAGGCGCCGTGTCGCAGACTGTGGTGACCCGAGGTCCTGCTGAAGCTCCTCATCGTGCTGTCGCGGTTGGCTGGTATCCATTGAGCCCGCAAACACGCGTGTACTACACGGATGGCACTAGAGAAGTTGTCCTCTAAAGTGGTTCTGGAGCACTGAGGCATGTTCGACGTGGCACTATAATCCCTGTGTTGGCTTCTAAAACTCATGGACCCGGTGCCTCGCGCAATCAAGCCCCCTTCCCGGATCTCCCTCTTGTACTGTCATACGAGGACAGATGTCATGAGGAAGGATGCTCCCTTCGAGTAAAAAGGAAGTGGTGTCATGCATGTGAGAACGAGACGGCGCTAGGCGTCTCTCTCATTAGCTCTCAGTCTTATGTTTCCCACCTTCTACACAAGTGGAAGTCAAGTCAGCAAAGAAACTTAGGATATAAGTGTTCTTGCCTACCGTTCATGGCACTGAACGAAACCGTACTCCCTGTAACCGTAGACCACCCGACCCAAGGAGGCGAAAGTACGATCCGCAATTTATGGTTTCGCCCAAAACTTTACCTCTTGTTCAGAGCTGTCAGCTTTTAGATTTGAAGTAAAAAAAAATCGGTACCACTATGGGGAGCAACGGAAACGTTTTATCAGTTACTGCGCGAGCTGAGAACCCCCACTGGTAGCTTGTCGGTACGCAATCCCCTAGCCCTAATAATTGCAATTGACCAAAATTGATATCTCTAGACATATCATTTGATAAATTTCAGTCTAACAAAATAACCTGTTGTCGGAAAGTATTTTTCCAATTAACCGGGCGAAGGTAATACAGTTTGTTTATCAAACACAAATGAAATGAAAAAAGTCCAAAGATGCGTTGAGCACACATGTGTTTAGGCCAAGCCTCGCGAGCTCAATGAATGCCACCCGACCGCGGCCCGTCAAAGATCAAGTGCAACTACCTTCGCCGTGATCGTGGAGGGCTCGACACCCTGCTTCCACCTCAAGCGGGTAAAATGGGCGATTCGGCGCTGCAGCCATTTCATCCGCTTGATTTCTCTTCTCCTACAACTACAAAGTCCTCAGGTCGTCCGACATCGTCATCTGATCCTTCATCATCAATTCCGGTGAGCGGCCGTAAGGTCTCTTCGTCTCGTCTTTCTCTTTTTTTAGTTTGGTATACGTTTGTGCTTCCTCGGTCGTCCGCTCATCGTCTTCATCGTGTTCTTCAACAATTTCCATTCGTTTTTATTCGCTTTCATTCGTTTCACGGTCTTTGTAAGAAATGCCATCGATCTCGCGACCAATATCACCTCATAAAAGACACACCAGGCGTGGAGTGTCATTGTCGTCAGCCACCGCCAAGAACTTTGACAGCGACAACACAACATGCTCCTTGACAGAATACACAGCTCAATAGCGCTGTCGACTCATCGGCTTGGCCTCACCGAGCGCATCGCGACTGGCGCCAGTAGCCACACGAGGGGCGGGGTAGCCCTGATCCATAGCCACCTGCCGGTCGTCACGGTAGCCGGCAGAGCGGTACGACTGTTGCGCCTGCACTTGCGCGTCACCCTCCTTTGCCTCGTCGCGAACATACACACGACCCTGCGATGCGATCTGGCGACCATCACGGGCAGCTTCCTGGCGCGGGTCAGCACGGGCACTGCGCTCGCCCTCACCGCTGGTGCCACGCTCCCGACGGCCACTGCGCAGGTTAAGTACCGTCCAGTCGAACATGGCGTCAAATTGGAAACCCTTGCGGAAGAAGAGCTCCTTGAACAGACGCTTGAGGTAGGCGTAGTCAGGCTTGTCGTCGAACCGCAGTGCGCGGCAATACTCAAAGTAGGCGCGGAATTCAGCCGGGTAGCCCTTGCATAGCACCTCAATGGGGGTGTTCATCTTCTTCTCCATGATCTTCTCGTACTTCTGCTTCTTGGTGTTGGCCTTGAGTCCCTGCCACGGGAGACTGCCGCGGATGAAGTACATGTACACGTACCCAAGCGACTCCAGGTCGTCACGTCGACTTTGCTCAATGCCCACATGGGTGTTGATGGAGGCGTAACGGGCCGTTCCCGTGAGATTCTTGTTCTCACGGTACGGAATGTGCTGGTGCGTCTTGGGATCGCGGTACTTCTTGGCCAGACCGAAATCGATGACGTGGACGATCTGGGCGCGCTTGCCCAGGCCGATCAAGAAGTTGTCAGGCTTGACATCACGGTGGATAAAGTTCTTTGAGTGGCAGTATTCGAGGCGGCACAGCAGCTGATCTGCGATCATCAGCACAGTCTTGAGCTGGAAGCGGCGACCACAGTAGTTGAATAAATCCTCAAGCGAAGGGCCAAGTAGGTCGATCACCATGACGTTGTATTCGCCCTCAACTCCGAACCATCGGAGGCTCGGGACACCCACTAAAGAAAATTGCACAAAACATGCAGCACACCATGTTAGTACAACTCAATGGTTTTAACCGCGAGGGGCAAGAAGTGGAAGTTGTACGCACGTCCGCCGTTGAGGATCTTGTAGATTTTGGATTCATAGAGCAGTTGTGGGTGCTTGCTCTTGACGGACTCAAGCTTGATGCCAACCTCCTCGCCCGACGTCATGTTGGTGCCCAGGTAAATGTCACCAAAGGAGCCACTGCCGATCTTGCGGCCCAGGCGAAATTTCTTGCCGACTCGCAGCTCCAGCGCGCTCTCACGTGGGTGGGACATCCTTCTGCCGTATATGGAAACTGGGGAAAAGAGACTACATTTTGGAGAAGAGCGGGGTACACAAGTTAGTGGAGCTCAGAAAGACGATAGTTTGGGCGACTCCCCCCGCGTCTACGCGGGCAAGAAGGTGTCACCGGGAAGGGCAGATGCAGGGGAGCACGCAGAGCACTAGACCGACGGCCCCTGCAGCCGCAGTAAAGGCGGAACTCGCGCCACACTTACTTGCTCGGAAAAGGGGGCGGGCACTGTATATGCTGGCTGGGAAGAAAGAATGCGAGCTGACGAGCCGTCCCCCCAAAATGGGTGCAAACCAATATTTGGTCTAATGCTACCAATTTTGGGACCTTCCAGAGAAGAAAAAGGTACCGTAACCCAAACTGGAGGTTACGATAGAACGACCCAAAGGCTACGACCATTTAAAAAAACACCGAGTCCATCGTTTTTAATTGGGTAATATCGGCTTAGCCTATATTAGTTGAAACAAATGGTGTGGTCATCGTAGCCGAATTTGGTCTCCACATGTACCCAACATTTTGGACTTTTAGCGACTGGCTTGAATCGCAGGTGCGTGCTTCTTTCACAATCCCTCAATCGTACTTAGAATGCTTCAATGGGCTGTTCGTTTCTTTATTTACAAAATAGCTTAATTGAACCACTGATGCAGTATTAGAAAATGCACAGGCACACCAGCGCGAAAAGCTGTTGCGGGGGGATTGCACTGCATGGCAGGATGTATTAATGTAGTGGTTAATTACTCTCGTCACGCTCAGCTCCAGCGTCAAAGATTCCAGCGGTAACTTCGACAAAACACTCGTTGAGATTTGGCACAAAAAAAAAATTATGCACATTTAATGACGCTGGCGACTTCCTGCAACCCACGACGATACCTTGCGACCATTTTTTAGCTCATGACGGACGCTGAATTCAGGAGTGTCGCTCTTCTTGGTTTACCTTCGCATCGCATCACAACATTACGTGTACGAAAGACCAAGCTACCAAAATACCCACAATAAAACCAGGGTGGGTGGGTGCTCCCCTTGACAAGTCTATCACCCAAAACAACTTTATTCCGGTTTTCGATCCCATCTTCGTATCCGCCATGTCTTCTTCGTCGCCCCAAGCTCGCGTTTCCGTCCGAAGCACGACCGCTAGCGGCTCGTCCGTCTACGAGTCCGACCGCGCCGTGCACGAATACATCCAGTTCCACTACGGTTCGTTGCCCAGCATATATCTGCTCTCCGCACGCTGATGATATTCCCAACTATTAAATACCTGTAGAGGAACCGTCGACGGTGGTTCCTTACAGTTTCGCACCTCTGGACGCACTACAATTCCTTCCGCGAACGGCGGAGCGATGTGCCAAGCTGACGCCTTCAACACACCATTGCCGCGCCTTGGACATCGGCTGTGCCGTGGGCCGTGCCACATTTGAGCTCAGCAAGTACTATGCCGAGGTGTGCGGTGCGATAGTTGACAAGATTGCATATAAGTATTTGTTTGTAGTAATGCTGTGCGCTGCTTTGGACCATTGTTGTAGGCCGTGGGCATCGACTTTTCGCAACACTTTGTTGATGCCGCTAAGCAGATGAAGGACAAGGGCGAAATGGAGTACGCGGCGCACATCCAGGGAGACATTCAAGAGATTCGTCTTGCGAAGCTACCCCAGGGTGTCAAGCAGGCCAATGTCGTGTTCCAACAAGGAGATGCGTGCAATCTTTCCCCAACGCTAGGTAACCTGCGTTTAGTTTGTAGAAACATAAGCAGGTGCCACAAATGCTTTAACACTATTGCGCTCTCCTTGCTCTAGGCACATTCGACGCAGTGTTTGCTTCCAACCTGTTGTGCCGCCTTCCGGAACCTAAGAAATTTTTGATGGAAATTGGCGGGTTTATCAACTCAGGCGGCATTTTCGCCCTCGTGAGTCCATACTCGTGGTTGGAGGAGTACACGAGCAAGAACAAGTGGATTGGTGGCGTGCGCGACGCAGAGGGTAAGCCTGTCGATAGCTTCAGCCTCATCGAGAAGATTCTCTCGCATGACTTTGAGTTAATTGAGCGCCAAGACTATCCGTTCATGATTCGCGAGCATGAGCGTAAATACCAGTGGGGCGTGTCCGATGGCACCTACTGGAAGCGCAAGTAAATACCTCAACTAGTACAGTACTGTAGTACTTCGAAGTGCTTGCAAGCGAGATGCGACGAGTCGCTACTGTGGCTCAGAAGACTGTACTCTGACTGTTTACCAAGAGACTACAGCGAGAGTGTATGAGGATCAGGACTAACGAAGTTGCCGTAGTAGTAAGCGGTACCCGAGTCAAGACTTCAAAAACACATCACGTCGCACCCGTGAAAATGAAGATCGTGCAGGCAAAAGTAACCACTTTGACTAACAGCTAATACTATCGGGAGGCTATTGACTGACCTACAGCCAGTGCGTGAGAATAAGACGGGGCAATCGAAATAGCAGGCGGGAGCTTGACGACCAATCCGCAGAGACGCGAGAGTTCTCGCTGCACACCTGCTACCTTTGGACTGGGAGTACCGGATCTCATCACGTTCGTGGGATTGCTGCAGCGATCGGTCGTTTCCTGATATGCTCACCGACTTAGGGTTTCCAAGCTGCATCAGTTTTTTTCTGGCTTTCTCTGCTCGCATCGCGTCAAAATGATGGTGTTTCTGTATGTTAGCGTCGCCCTTGGTATATTTTCGCCTCTCTCAACCAAGTACTAGTATTTTACGCGTTCACCCCGAGCGCGACTGCGCTTCTCCTTTTCTGTCCGGATGCTCGACTTGATTTTGTGCAGGCGATGCCGTTGCTGTTGTTCCCTGATGTTGCGGAGTCCCCAGCGGCTGTCACCGCACCATTCTCGCCGTCTTCTACTGTTCGGCGGTGGTGCATGGGGGCCATTTGCTGTGACTGATGATGATGATGTAGTGGCAGTGGATGACTACGGCGATGTTCCTGTGGCGGCGGCACCTTCGGGTAACTCTCAGTCACGTACACGAGCTGTCCTTCCTGCTGCGGGTCAGGTGCCACAAAGTGGCGCAATTGGTAGAAAGGCGAGTGCGGCAACGACGAGTTGCGCACACGGGTGTACATGTAGTGGTTGGCCAATTCGTTGTAGTAGCGCGCATACGCCTCGCTGCTCACATGCAGGCTGAAGTTGATGAGCAGCAGATACTCAACCTCGAGCTCATTCATCTCGGGGCAGGGCACGCCGCCCACCTTGGCATAATAGGCGTTGTTGAAATAGTGATCATCGAAGAACTTGGCGGCCAGCACGACACTGGTGATAACAACGCGGTGCACGTTAAGCTCCGTAAGCACAAAACCCTGCATCTGGTGCAGGCGGTCCATGTACACAAGCGCGAGTACGAAGCACTCAGGGCTGCAGCTGGCGTACTTGTGGATGCGTTGGAGGTTAGTCCCCAATGGAGATTTCCAGGGCCTAGAAATGCCTCAAAACTTGATTTTATGGTAGTAGCCCAGCGGCATTCGGTCACTGGCGTGTCCACCATGGACTCAACGACGACGGCCAGTGTTTGCACAATGGCGAACCCGCGTTCATCGTTCGATTCAGTTGTGTCGTCCAGCATCACAGCCATCACTAGTGCAGGCCGGCTGCGGGCTGAAAACACGGTCGAGTAGAACGTAGGGGGGGGGCTCTGTTGTCGTGTTCTCTGTATGGCCTTCCTGCCGGTTATGGAGTGATGGCTGGCTGAGGGAGTATCTCTCGATAGGTAGGTCCGTGGTACAAAGTCCCTCGTAGCAGTGACTGGCGAACACTCCGAAGGGGCAGCAGCAACAGAAGCCTGGGGTCTCAAGAATCCTTTGCTTCTCTTCTCCACGCCGTTTTTGGCTTTGCAAAAACAAAGAGGTGGCGAGAGCACCAACCAAGTTGGTTACAGACTGTAACTTACGGTACCAACCTTGATGAATTACCGGTATTTGTGCAGCGTGTCTTCCTAGTACCTAGTATAATAACTAGCCGAGCGCCGCCGCTTCGCGGCGGTTGGAATGTGGTTGGCACTTGTTTGTGCAAATCGCCTCCGCTTCGCTTCGGCGAGGGAGCTAAAATTGTGCTCGATTAAGAAAATAATGGGAAAGTAGGAATTGAACCCACAGCATTTAATACGATATCTTCGTTGTTGACCACTGCACCAGCACGCTACTATTTCGATCTTACCAAATTTACTGTATTATAAATGTTGAAAGTAGCATTCATTTATTTTTATTTCACGTTTTTTTTTATCGAGTGGAGCCAGTTTCATAATGGCAGTGAGGCATACTTACGTAGGCAGTTGCTACGTAAAGTGGACAATTGTCACCTCTTGGAGAATTATCACCTACCAGAGTAGTGGACATATTGTCAGTGATGGGACAGTGGTGTCACGATAGCTTATAAATACCGTTATTTTCGCACAAGTGGGGTTCACGCGACACGAACACACTCGCAGCTGGCTCGCTCATTTCACTCACTCACTCACTCACTCACTTACTCACTCACTCACTCATTCATTCACTCACTCACTCATTCACTTTCCCTCCATCATTCATTCTCTCCCTTACTCACTTTTCCTCACTCACTCATTCACTCACTCACTCACTGGTGTCTGGACAAATAAATGCTATAAAACGTTTCTTTCCGACGCTAAGTATAACCTGACCAGAAACAGCTCATACTTATTGTGCCTAAGCAATATTTAGCCTCTACATTCGGATGTCCGCCTAAAGCTTGTAGATTAGACACACCGGAAAAATCGTACCCACACTCACTCTTTTTCTCACTCTCTTATTTAACCTATCAGTGACTCATCATAACAAATCGCAAAGCCAGTTTGAAGCGTATTACGTCTTACTTAATGGTAAAAAAATGTGTCTGTACACTACGTTGCTTGTATAGACGCCATCTTCTTCTTCTAGCTCCGGATATTCAATTACGGCCTTGAACTTCGACCACGAAGTGACTCTGGACAGTGCCACGTAAAGTTGACCATGCGAGAAGCACAGTGTAGCGAGATACAGTCCCAGATTCAGCACCGTCTGGCCTTGGGCTTTGTTGATCGTCATAGCGAAGGCTAGCTGAGCGGGAAACTGCTTACGGCGCAGTCTGAAGGGGAATTCTCGATCTCCGCCGTCGCTTACAAAAATAATTCTTGGAATAAGCACGTGTTGGCCCTTGCGCTCCCCTGTCATGATTGCTGCGTGTATTACATGCGGCTTAAGATCCACTATTCGCAGCCGTGTACCGTTGCAAAGGCCAAGATCGGCGTTCAAATTCCGTATCAACATTATAGGAATGCCTTTCTTGAGTAGCAGTTTATGTGGAGGAATCCCGCTCATGTTCATTAAGTGAAAAACCTCTTGCTCAAAGAAATTCCCATCCAAGTCGTCCTCAACTGCGTCTGCCGACAGGTACGCATGCGTTTCATCAGGCAGACGTTCTATTCCGCTCTCGATTAATTTCCTGCTCTTCTGCAGTTAGGTCCGACCGCAGCACCTGGCGCTGCAAAGTATTTATCTCACATTCGATTACAACTTCTTCTTCAGTAAGGCACGCCCGCGACTGTCGGCGCAGTTCGGTGTGCCGTTCGCGCTCAATTACTTCTTCTTCCTGCGTGAGTCTTGCTCTGAGTGCACGCTGCCGAACCGCATCGCTTCGACGTACCCGCTGCTCCGAAATTTGACCAGCCGAATCCCCAGGACCCTGCTCATGCTCTAAGGCTTCCAACTCCTTTAAGGCTTTATTTAGAGCACTACGTCTGCCATAATAACGTGCCATGCGTCTCTTCTTAGCCTGGGGCTCCTTCAGACCATTTAGTACACCATTAACGCGGTTATTTTCTTCAATAGCCTCTTCAATCTCCACACGCGTCCACTTGCGCTTTCGCCGACCCATGGCTCACTACGAACACGAAACAGAGTTACGTGACGCGTTAGACTTGAGGTCTAAGCACACTTCAGGCAGCAATAGTGGCTGATACAGCTTATTTTTCGTGCTACCCGGGATTGCTTGCCCCCATCAAGGTTTTCTCCGATCACTTATCCCACAGTCACGGGCCGTGAGGCCCGGAGCGGTTTTAGTTGCAAAATTGTGCAGTCGAATCTTCAGGGTTGGGCCCCCGGATAGCACTGAAGCTTGAAATGCGATAGCCTTTTCCACATTCAGCTAAATGGGTAGGCCAGGGTCGTTCGGTGTATATAAGCGGCCGCTACACTGGTTGGCTGTCGGGTTTGTGGTCAATGGACCGGGTCAAATGTGTGCTCTCTCGCAGAGTGGGCGGTGGGCCGAAACCCCTCAGCACTTGACCCCCAGACAGGAATACCTTAGTCAGGAATCCGCGTGGTATATTCTGAGCAATTAATTATTCCGAATAACCCCAGAAACCTGCTAGGAGTAAACCCATCTGGACTAAACTTCCCCCTAAGCTTCCCCAGGAGCTCGGTCTATCTGTGTGAGTACGTGGTCGTGGCTACTAAGCCTAACTAACATGCATACATGCAGCGCACCTTGTGTGACGTGTCCCCTGCTGCGGCGCTCCGTTTTGAAAATGGCGCGAAAGGTGGTTAGTGTGGACCACATCCTTTATAAAAAAGAATGGAGAAGTATCAAGCACTTTACCACAACTGGGAGAATGAACCTTCAACTGGCAAGCTCTTCACCACTACCACACGTTCTTGACACTGCGTGGGTACTATCAGACGCATCTGAGATTGTCGCTGTAGCAATATATATATTTGCGCTTAGTCAGCGCTTCGATACACTGACATCAAAAACTCGAATAAAAAATTGTTGCACTCGGTTTTCGAAGTCGTGACCAAGTGCAATCACTTATACTAATCAGCTTTTGAAACAGCTCAGCTGCAATTTTATTTTTAGCTAATCGGAGCCGCCTTCGCTCCGCTCGGCAGCCAATGGAAAAGCTCAAAAATCTGAGCGTTTCGTGTGACGGACGGACGGACACCGTGCTAGCCTTGATTTTTTTAGGATGGAAAAGCTCAAAAATCTGAGCGTTTCGTGTGACGGACGGACGGACACCGTGCTAGCCTTGATACTTTAGGACTAGCCGTTCGCCGCCGCTACGCGGCGGAGTGGCATGGTTTGTTGGAGATAAGGTGGCCGCAATTTTAAGTACTTCGTGTGTTGTGTGCTTTCAGTCTGATCTTGTACCCCGAGGCTTCGGCCATCCCCGTGCGATGTTGTGTCGTGCACTTAAAACACCTGTCATTTCGTAGTCTCATGTGGCAGTGTACGGTATCGTTAATTCGTACGCGTCCGTTGCTCCGTACTACTGGTTGGCGTCTATGTTCCTCCGTGGATATTGCCCTTTTCCGTTAATGCGCTCTCTCTTTTGGGCTCATGCTTTTCAGTAGTACGACACCCTTTCGTGGCTGCTAGTTATTCCGTGTTCCCAAGGTGTTGAGTGAGTTTTACAGGTTTAGTGGTCCATATTCATTCATGGTCCATGGCGTCTCATCGACGGTACCCTCGCCGACGGGTGCTATTCCGTAGTTATATGGATCCGTCCCCCGTGTAACGTGCTCTCCTGGTGTGACTTCATCGACCGCGGTATCGCGCTATCATGCGAGCGCAGTATAATTCTGCTATCCTATGCTTTCGTGCTCGCGTAGTGCATCTGTGTTTCCCGTGTTATTATATTCAACAATGGCATACTGATCCACGTTGTGCAATCGTGATATCCAAAAGCGCTCCCCGGTGCTTCCGTGGCTGATCTGCCGCCCGTGCAATCGTGGAATCGCCTTTTGTGGCTCCGTGATTTGCCGTCTATAACTCCCGTTGCTGCGTGTTATCTCACGGTTTAGTGGCTGGACCACCGTCCGTGCAATCGTATTATCTCGCGGTATCGTGGTTGGTCTGTCGTCCGAGCTATTGTGAGCTACCGTAACACTGTGCTCCGTGGCTTGGCTCTACCCTGGTATCGTGCTCCAATGCTCGGTGATTTCCCGCTTATGCTCTCCTGTGGCTTTGTGTTAGGTTCATCGTCTGTGCTTCATGTTCTACCGTGGTGTTATGGAAGAATTGCTTTCCGTGCACCTTACCGCTTCCGTGGCCCGTGTTTTTCAGCATGTTGGGGTGTCATTACTTCAGTTACTTTCCGTGATCCATACGCTCCCATCATATTCTTGCCATTCCAAGTTTTCATGGTAGCGTGCTCGTCCGTGGTTCGTGCTTTTCAGAATGGCTAGCTGCCTTCATTAATTTAGTCCTTTTTCAACGTCCGTGGCCTTCTGTGCTTCGTGTTCTTCCCTCTACCCCATCGTGTACATAGTGTGCGCCGGTGTTCCTCTGTGTTTCGTGTTCTTGTTTATCCACTTGCTCCGCGCTAATTCAATCGCAAACGCTGTTTTTATTTTGTTTGATGTATGCTACATATCGTGGTGAAAAGTGCGCACAATCTCTTAAGGTCGTACACTACGCGCGCGAATACAAAGGAATACGATCCTTTTTTATCGGCGGCGGAGTGGTGTACATGGTTATGTGGGGTGGGATGGTGGGAAGCCACTATATTCACATTTTGAATATTTAATATTAGTAATAAATTGTGCATCTTTATCTAACGCAAATATAATACCGGTACTTTGGTTTAAATTGATTCGTATTAGTAATAACATGCGTTTTTTTTCTTGCGCAAAATAGGACGAAGCAGTACTTTCACGAATAGGGTAGACGTATGTTGGCTGACTTTGATTGACATACAGCTTTGGCTTAAATTTCATGTAGCAGAGTGTCTAAAGGAGGTCGGGTCGAAATTACGCGAGCCGATGGTGTCCTCGGCACCGTGCGCAATAGCAGCCTTGACACCGTTGATCAGAGCCGACGGCGTACTCGAGCATCAGCTACAAGAACGTACTTCAAAAATGTAATTCTTTTGAGCGCGCAGTTGCTTTGCTTTAATTAATTTTTTGTAGTACTGCTATAAACGTCTGCAAGAAAAATATAAAATTCTCAAAACATAGTATTACTCAAAAGTTTTGTAAGTTTTATTAATTAAAAGTACTACGAAGCCTAAATATCATTATATATCCTATAAGTACTAAAGTTTCGATTGAGGCCTAAATATAAGTCACCAGGGCCTACAAAAAATTTCAACAGCTCCTACGACGATATTGTATGTGTGTGCACGTCGGCGCCTCCTATTAATGCTAATTAACGCGTGCACAGGCAGCGCCCTTCGCGTGGCCTTGCATACCGCAGCTGAAAATGAAAGCAAAATGAAATTTGAGTGGTGCATTTTAAGTACGATGTGTTGACCACATACAGTGTGTCCACCACATAATGATATTTTAGCCAATTGAAGCCGCCTTCGCTGCGCTCGGCAGCCAGTAGAATGCGCGTATTTGCGTTACATTCTAGAACCCTACCCTCGGACGGACAGACGGACACCAGACTCCACTAGGGGGGTAAGATATATGTACCAATTTATAGTTTGTTTTGTGGCGATTTTAGCTCGAACACATGGGACACATCGAGTGGGGAACGAAGGTTATTATTGCTGAATACCGTGCACGCCAAAACCATTAGAATGCGCACTTGAAAATTGTCAATTTCTCTCCAGGTGTAGTGTTTTTTTCATCGCTACGAGCCGTAAAAAGCAATGGTAGAACGACCCTGAAATTCTCAACAGCATTAACTTTTTCACTACCTATTGAAAATATAACGTTATGCCGTGGTCAAAACCCTTTTAAATTAAAGGACAAAAAAAGACCAGCCTTGGCTTGGTAGCAATATCATCATTTACACGGTCTTCTTCCATGGACATAAGCCCTTAGCGACTTCAATCCGGGCTATGCTCATCTTGATGTCTACCGTTGTCCAACAGGACACTCAATTGTGTCATTAATAACAAAAAAAAATCTGTTGATTTTAATTAAAAAATCACAGCTTAACTTGAGTTCAATATGGCATCCATAATAGTCCTACTTGGAGACAGATCTGTTATATCATACATTTTGCACTTAAGTTGGAGCGCTGCACCCTCTTTTCAAAACCTAAGTCATTTTTTTGTCATATTCGCTAGTTCTATAATTCAGTAAACTCGCATTAAATCGAGTTTTTTGTTCTTTTTTCCAAGTACAAAACTGTTGAGGTTAGCATTGTGTTCGGCAGATGATATGTCGCTCAGTATTATGGCTTAGTTCAAGCATGGTCGGCGCATGCTTAAAAATGAGCTGGGAAATGGCAAATTTAGAGCTATTCATAAACGCTCGAATTGCGCTTTTAAACACGCAAAAAGGAGCGATTTACTGGACATCGATGGGATTTGCTTGAAAATTTATCTCGTGCGCTCGATTTAGTCTGTCGTAGCGCAATTTACCGGCAGCTTTGATCGATTTGCATTTTTATGGACCTTAATGTATAAAACGACCTCATTTTAATATAAAATGACAATAAAGCTAAGTGGGAACTACAAAAGCATGCAGTACATGCTTCGACAATACGGTCTTTCAGAAGTACTGACAAATGAAAAACCCTTACGTGTTTCTGTTTAATAAGGGCATCTCCTGACAAAAAAGAATGACATTTGGTCGTCCTTTTTTTACTGGCACTGGTTTGGCCAAACTTCGACAAAACTCCCCCTTCGACAATTTGGAGGCAGTCTGTCGGTCAAATTCCGACTGGGGGTAGCCTCGCACTAAAACGTCCCAGTCCATCCCTGAGTTTGACTGGTGCACACGCTCAATGCCAATGCTCAGGAGGCGTTCACGTGGATGCCATTGTTTAATCTGCACCTTCACCACCACAGCAAGTACCCATCTATGTCACCAAAGGAAAAGGCCGGTCGAGGTCGGAGCTATGCCCCAGCTGAAGAGCTGGAGCTAGTGCGAGGTGGGTGCATATTTCTACTGATGCTGCAACTGGAATGCTTCTGGCTGCGC